CCTTCCTTTTCCTCAGTTCTCTCTCTTTTATCTTGAAGGTAAGGATAGTTTCATTTTTTTCCCCTTTGTATTACCCATAATAGAGAACAACTAGATGTTTGTTGAATTGAATTGAATTGAATTGGACTGAACTGAATTGACACCTGCATCTCAGCTCACTGTTCTTAGTTCTCTAGCCTCAAGAGTCACCCAGAATATCTATTACCTTTTCAACATATCAGTTCTTAAAATATTTGAAAATAGTTATCATGTCTTCCCTCAAGTCAGCTTTCAACATACATGGTTCTTTCATCTGTTCCTTATACAGCATGGTTTCATTCCCTTCCCCATCTTCCAATGTCATTCTTAAAGGATTGTACCTGGAATTGATGTGGATAGCACAATGACATAATTCCTTCTCTTGATCTGGACCTCATGCTTTGATTAATTGATCTGAAGATTGCACTAAGGTTTTTGCCTACCATATTACTCTGATTCATAGTGAACTTTTAGTTAACTAAATTCCTTAACTCTTTTGCATGTAAAGAGTTTTCAAGGCAGATCACCTCAATCCTGTATTTGCACAATGGTTTTTTAAAAACTTAAATCTAGGAATTTACATTTTGTTCTAATTAAATTTTAATTCATTTGTTTTGGTCTGTTTTTGTAAACAACAATAATGCTGTCATAAACAATAATAATACTTGTAACAGCCGTATTATTTCTAATTTCAAACTTGATGTATTGTAGACATCTTAAACTCAACATGTCTAAAATTGAATTCATTTTCTTTCCCCTAAAAAGCATCCCTTCCTCTAACTTTTTTATTACATGAAGGATACTACAATCCTCCTAATTACTCAAGCTCACAGTTAGGTGTTATTCTTGAATTCTGTCACGTTCCTAATATTTAATCTGTTGCCAAGTCTTGTCAATTTTACCTCCATAACATTTCTCTTATACATTTCCTTCTCTTTGACAGTGCCACCACTCTGGTGAAGGCTTTTATTACCGCACATTTGTATTACTGCAATGGTGGGTCTGCCTGCCTCAAGTTTCTCCCCACTCCAATCCACTCTCTATTCAGTCACCAAAATGATTTTCCTAGAGCACGGATCCAACCATATTACCCTCCTCCTTAATACATTCCAGGGACTCCCTATTGCCTCCAGGATCAAATACAAATCCTCTGTTTCCTGTTCAAAACCCTTCATAACCTTGTCCTCTCCTATCTTTCCAGTCTTACACCTTACATACCTTCTATCAACCCTACCCCTTCCCCCTAGCTCTGTGTACTCTTTGATCCAGTGACACGGGCTTACTATCTGTTCCACAAACAGGTCCGGGGTATTTTCTCTGGCTGGTCTCCATGCCTGGAACGCTCTAGCTCCTCATTTCTGTTTACTGCCTTCTCTGGCTTTGTGAAAGTCCCAGCTGAACTTCCATTATCTACAGGGAGCCTTTCCCAAGTCCTCTTAACTCTAGCGCCTTCCCTCTTTCAACAATTTCCCATTCATCTTGTATGTAGTTTATTTATATATATTTGTTACTTGTTTTCCCCATTAGACTGTGAGCTCCTTGAGGTCAAGTACTGTCTTTTGCTTCTTTTTTGTGTCCTCAACACTTAGCACAGTGCCTGGCACATAGTAGATGCTTCATAAATGTTTACTGACTGATGGGCTATTGATATCATTTAAAAATCAGTTGATTATTTGAGGTTAATAAAAAGTTGAAAAGGCTCTGACTCATTATGTTGGAGCATGAAAATGAAATAGTAATAGTGTGAAAACAGAAGTGGAAGACTCATGCCTAATCTTACCAGATAACAACTCTAAGCAGAACTAGATTTTCCATTTTGATAATACTACCTTAACTCCCTTGCTTCCAAATTGCCCTATAATTAGGCAGGGCTAAATTCTTTCTTGTGTACTTTAAGGACAGACTAGAGAGAGGAAAGGGGAAAAGGGAAAGACTGCAAAGTGGCTCTCCTGGCATTTAAGAGGCAGCATGGCTTGGTAATTAGAGACCCAGACTTGGGGCCAGGGTGCCTAATCCCACCTCTGATAGTTACTAGCTGTGTGCCCAGGGGAAAGTCCCAAGCATTCTGAGCCTCAGGCTCCTCTCTAAGTTATACAGTACCTTTTAAAATCTCTGAGAGACAGAAGGTTTAAGGAATATACATGTCTTTGCTGCTCCAAGGAGACTAGGCCAATCTTCTTACCCTGTTAAGATGCTCCTTCCTTGGGGACGTAGGATTCATGGGAAATTATAAAATTGATTTTCTTCACATGCCTTAAATGTATGGCAGTCAGACTATATTTCCTGGATCTCTTTTTGGTGAATGTTTTATGTTGACGACTATAAAAACCCTCTGGTTAAGGCCTATGTTTTTGAAAGCACTTAGCCTAAGTCAATAAGTGGTAAATATTTCAGCCAGGAATACCTGAATTCATGGGGAAACTCAGATGTGTGGCAATCCCTCCGCTCACACAGATTTTGTAATAGTTAAATCTTAGGGAGTGGAAAGAAAACTGATTTCTGCCATAAGAGGACTTGGGCTGAAATCCCAGCTCTGCTCCCCATGTAACTTTAGGCTAGTCACTTAAAGCTCTATCGTCCTCAGTTTCCTCATCTCTAAAATGAGAGGGTTGGGACTAGATGGCTTTTGACTTATGACTCTGAGATGTATGAAGCACATAGAGGTATATAGATTTGTTTGGAGTCACAGCTAAAAAGTATCAGAAGTTCCTGAATCCAAGCTACCCCATAATGCCTCTCTGCTTTATACCTTACATGATCTTGCTTAATTAATAATTAAAATCATCTATTGAAGTTCTCCTCTATGCTTCATCATGGTATCTTGGTGAGCCTGGAATTGTAAAGACTACTCCAGCAGAGTGCAAGCTCTGATAGGTTCTACCAACTTAGAAAGGCTTTGCATATGGGACCCAGTATTCAGAGAGGCCTATCACCAGAAGTCCAGTTGACAGGTGATGGGATTTTTTTGACCAAAGCAATTCATAATGGCCATTGACTTGCATCAGTGGAAGATGGGAAAAAAATCACAAATTCTTGAGGCCTTGAAGAGAGTGATCTATGAATAACACTAATAAAGACAGCTATAATGAGCGCAGCTGGAGGTGAGGGAGGGTGGAGGTGGAGGAGAAGAATGGGCTCACATATCAGCAGCCAGTGTGCAGAATCAACAGGACTTGACAATTAACTGGATATGAGAGATGATAGACAGGGAAGAATCAAGGATGTTACAACATGAGATAAGGAGGTAGGTGAACAGTGTAAGAAATAGTGAAGCCAGTAGGAAATTCATGGAAAAAGAGAATAAACTTAGTTTGTTGCATGTTGAGTTTGAGATGCTGCTGAGATATCCAGGTAAAGATGACTTGTAGGCTGCTGAAAATGATGGTCTCATAAGATCAACTGGCACAAAAGAAAGACTGAGCTAGAAACAGAGATTTGGGAGTCATCTATATAGAGGTGGCAGTTAGAATTATGGAAGGAAAGGAGATTCTAAGGAAGAAGGAGAAGAGAGGGCCAAAGATAAATGGAGAACGTTTTACTTATATGGGTGCAGAAGAAGACAACAAGCTTCATCTATAAAATGCGAGAGGTGTATGAGATGATCTCAAAGATTTGTTACAGATCTGATATTCTATGATTCCATGATTCTACAGTAGAAAGAGTGGACAGAATTGCTTCCTTGTTTCTTTTACCCCCACCTCCCACCTCCCTCCCACCCTCATTCCATCCCACCAATCAATTTCCCTCATTGCCCTTCTCAGGCTACCTGAAGCAATGTGTCATAGGGAAAAAAGTCAAGATATGGAGTCCAAAGACCTAGGTTAAGAGTCTCACCTCTGGCATTAGTTGTGTGACCTTGGACAAATCACTTAACTTTCCTGGGCCTCTGTTACCACACCTATAAAATGAGGGGATTGAACTACCCAGTCTCTGAGATCCCTTTCAGTTCTACATACATGATTCTTTGATCCTTACTCTATACACCAACCCAAGGACTATAGTTATTCATGAAATATATTTCTTGTCCTTAGTTCACAAAGCTAGAATTGAACAAACCCTGTAGAGCAGGCTAGGAAAAGTCCTATAATGCCATATCATTGGAGTTTCTGAGCTTATGTGCTGGAGCAGGGGAGAGTCCTGAACTGGACAGTCAGAAATCCTGTCTTTGACAGACCCTCACCTCTTAAGATTGGGTAATAATATTTACACTGCCTACCTCATAGAATTGTTATTAGGAAAATGCTTTGAAACTAAAAAGCTGCTATATAAATATGAGATAATGTCACTACTAGTAAAGGCCACACACACAATAAGCACTTAACGAATAGTGAATGAATAAACTTTGTACCTCTAGAAGCCACCATTTCACTTGCAGGAAACTAAAAGAAGTTTCCTAGAGAACTGATCGACTACTGGACACTCCTTCCTGTGTCCAGGGGGAAGATGTCCAGGAGATGGGGAAGTTAAGCCTGGAAAAGATAAGACTCAGGCAGGATATAATGGTTTACTCCAAGGGGAAGGAGGTTTAGATTTGTTCTGCTTTGCACTAGAAGGTGGAGCTTGGATCAATGGATAGAAGTTACAAAGAGGAGATTTTATGTTGCATATTAAAAAAAAATTCCTAATAGAACTATCCACAAGTGGAATGGGCTGCTTTGGCTAGTAGTGCATTTCCCCTTATTTGAGGCCTTTATACAGAAGCTGGATGACCATTTTCTGGGTATGCTGAAATGGAGAGTCTAGTTTGGATATCATTTGGACTAGATGGCCACCATGGGTCCTTCTAACTGAAAAGCTATGATTTGGGGAATTTATTGGTGTGAAGAAAAATTTGATTACATGAAAAAAGACATTTTTTAAAAACTAATTTTTTTTCTTAAACACATGGAATTACACACAATACAAAATAATTGTTTACATAGTGAAATCTTTACAATAATGGGTATATGTCATGATACACAGATGCAAGCAATATTAGTGCATTCATTTATAATATAGACTTTTATTTTTCCTTGTCATTGGGTTTAAAACAAAGTATAGAAGAAACTGCTGAAATTACCCTTTAGACCTTTAATCTTTTTTAAAGAAAAGTTAATTCTGTCTCCTATATAATATGTCAGAAAGATCAACAATGCCATCAATTCAATAGTTTGGTATTTCTTTCAAAGGGAAATTGTATTCCAGCAGCTCTTAAATCATAAATTCCAAAGTTGTGGTTATATCACATCTATTATATTTTCCTTATTGTCTCAACTTTCAGGAAAATCCTATTATTGTTGGGAGTAGGATGCGAGCAAAGAGGGAATATAGGAGCCATCATTTTCCTCATCATTTTCCTGCCTTTTAATGAGTAGCTGAATAAATAGACATGAATGATGAAATTCACATTAAGAAAGAAGCAATTCCAAATACTCTGATTGGCTTACTCTGCTTAATTTTGAGAGCTACTGCAAAGCATACTACTTGTTAGGGTAAAAATATAAGCTGAATCAAAGATGTACAACTGCTGAGTGCTAACTGGTATATACAGTAACACGGAGAAGGCAGAAAACATAAGTGTTTATGTACAGTTGTTTTTCCTTTCCATTTGCTTGGAGAAAACACTGCTTTACAGAATGGAACAGCAGAGAGCAGACCACGTGCAGTGAGGACCAATACAGTACACACAGTGTAACAAAATAAAAATACAAGAACTATGGGTTCAAAAAATAATATGACTGCAGAAAGAAAAAAAAAGGCTTGAAACCCGGAATGCTTTTTATGGAGGTTTCATAATGTATATTTATCTGAAAGCCTGTTAGTCATTTTTTTAAATTCCCAGTTGGCCACCTGTAGTTTAGGCGTGGAGCAAAAAATAAACCATTGTATTATACAAAAACTTTGTATATTAGCATACAAAAGGTAACAATTTACTTTTTGTATAAAATATAACTTTCTGATAGTATATTTATTTCACATATGTATAAATATAACCCAAAGAATATGTTTTTAATTATTTCTACCAAAATATTTTTTTACAAAAGTTTACAAAACAAATAATTTCTTTATATTTACAAGCCAACACTGAGAAGATCCTGGGCCAGTGGTATGGATGTTTCCTGACAGAAGGTGGGACAGTGCATTTAGTTATGTTAAAGAATGACGGGTGAGTTTTAAGAGATCATAAAAATTGCTTTGTTTGTTGTTATTTTTAGAGAATTGATATTTTCAACTTTGGGCATAGAAGGCATGACCAAAAGGTGTGATTACTTAGGTATAGGACTGAAAGGGCAGAAAAAACAATTATGCCATTTGCAATAAGATCAATCCAATTCACCAGAAGAATTGTGGGTAGGTTAAATAGGCTAATTGCTCACCCAAGGTCACTCATTCATTCAAGTGGGCACCACTGAAAGGAGAAAACTAGATTCTGAATCCTGGCTTATGGAGGTTGTATTTAGCCTTAAAATGCTTCCCTCTTTATATTAAGTGATGAGTCAAAGACTTAAAATATGAATTTCCATGACACAGGATAGATACATTTTAGCTGTTCATCAAAGGCAATTTAATGTCCCTTACTTTCCCAGTTTAGGTTCCTCCCAGGGCGTTCTGTCTCTTTTTTGCCATCAGAGAAGACAGTATAGAATTTAAGCTTTGGTGAGCAGTCCCAACCTTCCTGGACTTAGAAATCTATGTTTTGTCAGCTCAGGAAATAGGGTGGGTTTCAATTTCAATCATCTTCAGAACTGACCAGAGAGAACTTTCACAACAAACCCTCTACCCCCTCCCCACCCCCATTACAGTTGTAAGCCAAATAAATCCCTTTTATGACAATGCCCAGCTGGACATTTTTCGAACATTGTGGTGCGTGAATGATTCAAAAAAGAGTAAACTCTAATGCATACAGACAGGCATGCAGCAACTTTTGATCCAGGTCTTGGTTGCATATAAAACTTGGGAATGGACTGGGGAATCAGTTGTGGATTCAGTCAAAAGAGCAAAGGTTCTTCCCCTGCCCCCCAGAGGCTGCACAACTCCAACTCCTGGTTTCAACATGAGGAACAGTACCCTTGGTTGTTTGTTCCACCCAAGAGTGGCATATGGCAGCACAAGGTGGGTGGGGAGAAGCATATAGCCTGCTGGACTCACTCCAGGCCCTTGCTTACTCAGGTCAATTTTCTTACATTCCAAACGGATCTTGTAGTTTTCTCCACAGAAGCTCTGGGTGGTTTAAAATAATAAACCAGAGATAAAGCTAAAACAGCACAAAGAGGGATCAAGTGTGAGAGAGAATCTCTTGCTCTGTGCTCCATTTGGAGTCAGTTCCCCTGCATCACATGAGGCTTAAGTGATTTACAAATTCCCATCAATTTTCTTTCAGGGAGGAAGGGAAGAAAGAGGTTTTGTGGCCCATTTTACCCAAGAAAAATATACATCGACATCACAGTTCCATTTGAATGAATTGGATATCCTATCCTATAATTCAGAGCTATGAAAGTCATCTCATACTTTACTTCCGTCAAGTTTACTATTTGGGGAAATTTTTTTGTACCAACATTCTCAATACAGCAATCACTCTTTTGTTTCCCAATGTTAAGCCACGGTATCTACACAGTCCCACTAAAAGGAAAAACTAAAAATCAATAGCTCAATCTTTACAGAGTCCATATAAAATACTGCCTTTTAGTGCTTGGAGTCTGCAGTTCCCATCTCTTCTTGCCTTCATGAGTTGCTGCCCAAGATTTCATCAAGATTGATGTCTTTCATCCAGTCATCATTGCCAGGCTCGGTTTTCAGTAAGGAATCTATGAAGTCGGAGTCACTATTCAGTGCTGGTCCCATGTTATCAGTCTGTTGGGTGAGAAAGTCAAAAGCTAAGTCACTGCCGTGGTCAGTCCCTTGGAAGGCCCTGGAACTTTGGTTTGTAGCAGGAAAGCTGTTGGAGGGCAGGGACGGTGCCTGAGTTATGCCTGTCCCGGTCTGATTCAACCCAGTTCCTGACAAAGTCTGTGTGCTTAGCTGATTTGGTCTGAGAGTCAGACCTCTGAGTGACCCAAGAGTTTGTCCATTTAATGGCTGGCTCGTTTGATTGATGGGTCTCATTTGCACTGCTGGTGTCAGCTGGCTTGGTGGAGCCACAGCACGCTGGGAAAATTGCTGGTTCCCCACTGCACGCTGCAAAGACTGATTGGAAGTGTATGCTGCTGCAGGGAAACGCATTCCTGTTGGCTTCAGGGTCTCTTGCTGCTTGGCTGAGGCTTCTGGAGAGGCCCAGGTTGGTGCTGTTGTGCTGGAAGTTATCATGACATTCGGTGGTCTCTGGGCTGGGATGCTCGTGATGCCGGGGTTTAAGTTTGATCTCACTTGTTGGGAACTGACGATGGAGCCAGACCCAAAAGTGCTCACGCTATTGTTATTCCCAGGCCCAAGGGTGGAGGGCCGCAGCAACATGGGATTATTTTGACTGGTAATCATTTGGTTAGTATTTCTGTGCTGGATCATTTGAGTCATTCCTGAAGTGATGCTGTATGTACCAGGTTGGTTGCAAGGCAGGTTTCCATATATCCCAATGTTGCGGACAGCTGGTAAAGAAGGCATTCTTGTTCCTTGGGAAGTGGACAGGAGGTTGGAAGTTTGGGTCAAAATGCTGTGCGTGGAAACAGGGTTTGCCAAAGCATGGTTAGAGTTTAAACTCACTGTTGCTGAGCCTCCTAAGAAAAGAAAGAGAATTGAATTAGTACACATACTGGGTCTGTGATATTTTCATGTGCCATGAAAAATATAATTCTGACGTTATATAGAAAGAAATGTAATAACTAAAAATACTGACTGGTGTTTATACAACATGCTAACATTTGCAAAGAGTTTTACATTGATTACCTTATTTGGATTTCACAACAATCCTCTGAGGTAGGTACAGGTATGAGCAGCCCTATTTTATAAATGAGGAAACCAAGGTTCAGAGATGTTAAGGGTTTTGCTTGTGCTCTCATAGCTAGGAAGTGTCAGAGGTGGGGATTTGAACCCAGGCCTATCTATATCTATATTCATTATCTCATTTAGTCTAACAAAACTGTAAAGTTAGTAGCTACAGGTATTATTATCCTCATTTTACAGAGGAGGAAGTGACTTGCCCCTGGTCACATAGTCAATGAATATTGGAGGTGTGTGATTCAAACCCAGGTCTTCATGACTCCAAGTTCAGTGCTCTTTCCCTCATACCATTCTGCTTTATATGAACCTTAACTTTCTTCTTTTATATATATTTTTTTCTTTGTGAGGCAATTTGGGTTAAGTGACTTGCCCAGAGTCACACAGCTAGTGAGTGTTATGTGTCTGAGGCTGGATTTGAACTCAGGTCCTCCTGACTCCAGGGCTGGTGGTCTATCCACTGTGCCACCTAGCTGCCCCCTGTTATTTACTTTCTTATAGTTGAGTCTGGACTCCTCAGGTAGATTGCTAAGGTCAGAAACTGTTTCTTATACTTCTTTGTATGCCTTCCAGTGCACATTACAGGTACTCAACAAATACTAGTTGGTTTTGGTTTTTTGTTTGTTTGTTTTTGGTGATCATGAGGACAAACTGAAGCAAATCCATCACTATTACAGCAAATCAATTCAAAGTATATGCCCTACTAATGGTGGCTCAGTGACACTATCTTTACATACTAACAATATAGCCATTTTTAAAATAATTAATCAAGCCATCAATCAATAAACATTTATTAAGTGCCTAACTGTGCTAAGTGCAAGGGATACAAAAAGAGGCAAAAGACAGTCCCTGCCCTCGAGGAGCTTAAAATCTAAGAGGGAGAAGCATATAAACAAATATATACAAAGCAAGTTATATACAGGATACAGGATAAATAAGAAATAATTAAAGGCACTGGAATTAAGAGTGGATAGGGAAGGCTTCCCGGAGAAGGTGGGACTTTAGTTGGGACTTAAAGGTGAGGGAGGTCAATAGTTGGAGCGAAGGAGGGAGAATGTTCCAGGCATCAGGGACAACCAGAGAGAATGCCTGGAGCTAAGAGATGGAGTGTCCTGTTCATGGAACAGCCAAGAGGCCAGTGTTATTGGATTGAAGAATATATATTGAGGGAGTAAGGTAAAAGAAGATTGGAAATGTTCAAGGGGACTAGGTTATGAAGGGCTTTGAATACATAGGGAAGGTTTTATGGGGGAACTAAAAAACAAGAGAAGAAACCTCATGAAGCAGTCTAATTCAATCTCTTCTCTAGGCAGGATTGTACTTTAAACCATCTGCCCTAATAAGATAAAGGGTAGAATCTTCAAAGTTGGCATAACTAGAATTCTCAAAGTGAAATGGATGTAATAATCACTTTAGAGAGAGTAAAGAAAGAAGCCATGTAAAAGACATGGAGGCTACAAACATGAACTCAAGTTTACAGCAAAGTATTTCATCCCATATCTTAACAGAAGCCATCTAACCGTGTTATTTCCCTCTGTATCATCTATTTCTAAAGGCTACCTATCAATGGTCATTATCCTTTGACCATGGAAACTCATCAAATGGCTGAAAATGGAAAATGGTCCTCAATCTTGGGATGGAGGGTCTCTCCATTTTTGCAGCAATGATGATAAAGTTGTCGAAAAGGAGGCAGAGTGTGCAAAAATTCACAGACATTCATCTGAGTGGAGGTGTTCAATATTGATCTTTGTTTCACATTCAGTAAGTGAATTGACACACTGATGTGAGGAACTGGGCTGAATCCACATGGACATTCTTGTGACAAATGAAACCAAAATAAACACAACGAAGGTATAGTGGGATAGAAGACAGCTTGTACTTGTTCCTTAGAGAAATGAATAAAGCACTTTGTGGAATTGATTTTTTCAAAAATTTATTGAATGTCCTTGATGACTCCCAGATTTCAGTCAGCAAAAGGAAGTTAGGAAGGAGGAACAGTTCAACTCAATTCAACAAACATTTATTGAGTGCCTACTATATGCAAGCCACTGTATTAGATGGTGGGAATTAAAAAAAAAAAGGCAAAATAGAACAACCCGTGCTTCCAAGGAGTCTGTATTCTGCAGCTTATGGTAGAAAAAAATGGGTTCAGATTTGAAAGTTTGGAAACTTAGGAACTCTGGGAAGAAGCCTGGCCTTAAGCCGGGAGATCTGGATTCCCATCCCATCTTTGCTGTTTACTAGCCATGTGAAGTGGGAAAGGCCATTTAACTTTTCTGGGCATCATTTTCTTCCTTTGTAAGGCAGAGATTAGAGCTCAGGGGAAATACTGCTGTCAGATATGTCCATTTTTGAGTCAGCTACATAGAGATGATCATTGAACCCTGGAGACTAGATGATATTTTCAAAGGAGTGAGAGGAAGAACTGAGGACAGAGCCTTGTAAGAAACCCACATTTGGGAGTGGGAGAAATGAGTTTAATCAGTAAAGATTTAGAAGACAGGAAGAACCAAGAGAAAATGGTATCATGGAAATCAGGGAAGCAGAGAGCCTCAAGAAGGATGTCAAATACTCTGAGAAGGTCAAGGAAGAAATCAGAAATTAGAAAAGGCTACTAGATTGCAATTTAGTTGGCATTAGTGATTTTTGAGACAGTGGCAGAATTAGAAACTAAACTGTGGGTAGTGAGAACAGATGGTGGGATATACCCTGGCACAAAACTTCAAGTGTTTATACAGATGACTCTTGGGTCAGTATATGCAGCTCATTCTGTCTCCTGAGCACCAATTATCATCAACTGTCCTTTAGCATTTTAAACTTAACACTTCCAAAAATGAACCCTTTTATTTTCTATTATAACCTATAGAATGTAAATTCCTTAGGAATAGGGATTATTTTAGTCTTTCTTTTTATCCCAGCGTCTAGTACAGTGGTTTACACATAGTACTCATTTAATATGTTTGTTGTATTGAGTTGAACTTCCTGACTTCTTTCCTTTTGTTGACTGGAATGTGGGAATCATCTTTAACTTTTTTCTCTTTTTTCATCTCTTGCATCCAAATGGTTGCGAAGATCTATTGAATTTACTTTCTTAACATTGCTTATATTTACCCCATTCTCTCCACATACACTGCCACCAGCCTTGGTTAGGCCCTCTCCATCTCTCACCTAGCCTAATGTATTTGTCTTCTAACTAGCATTCCCGTATTATATTATATGTTGTTACCTCTCCTCCCTACCTCTCATTATGTTGCAAGTTCTTTGAAGGCAAGGGTTTTGTCATTTTTCATTCTTTTGTATTCCTGTTGCCTAACATTGTACCTGTGTATAGTGGGGAGCTTGAATTAAATTGGACCAGTGACCTCATCTGTCTCATCAAATGAAATATACACAAAGATCATAGTTCTATCTTTGGGTTAAAGTAAACAAATCTCAAAGGGAGGAATGAGTAGATGCTATTCTCATAGTCAGAAACGGGGCAGGACAACTGGGTATCCCCAAGGATGTTTAGAAAAACCAGGGCCAAGTTGTTTTTTATTATTATTATTATTATTATTTTGGCAAGCCAATGGAGTTAAGTGACTTGCCCAGGGTCACACAGCTAGTAAGCGTTATGTGTCTGAGGCTGGATTTGAACTCAGGTCCTCCTCAAGTTTTTTAAATGAGAACATTTCATGGAAATGCAACAACTTTTTCCAACCCTGGATTACATATATGGGACAGAATATATAGTTAAGTATAGAACAAATGAACAAGGAAGTTAGGAGATGGGATTTTCTAAAGCACCCTAGCGTGTATATCAACCATTCAAAAAATTCTTGCTGAATTAAATTAAATGGAATCAAGGTTTCAGGAGAATACAGGAGAGTTGAGACAAGAAGAATAAGTATGAAGGATCAACAATAGATAAAAAAAACCTAAGTGTCAGTAACTGGACTTTGGTAGAGTCAGTGACATGATGGATAGAACTAGACTTGGATTCAGAGATACAAGTTCAAATCCTGCCTCAGTAAGTGATCCTGAGGGAGTCAGGTAACCCTAGAAATCCCCCTAGGACTTATTTACTAAATCATAGATGGGTCATCAAGTAGGTTGCAGGAGTTCCCCTTGCAGAGGAAAGCATAAATATGTCCTTCTAAGGAGGAAAATTGGAAGGCAGCAGAATATTCTGATGATGAGACAATTAATACTTCAAAGGAAAAAATAAAGCATGAAACACCCCCAAATTGCATTTTTTTCCTTTTCACAATAATGAATTTGACTTAATTTCATATCCACTTACCAGAATACTGGCTTGTTGGTTGCATGTTGACCATATTTCTTCTTTGGTCTTTATAATCAGGGGGTGGCCTTGTCAAGTGTCTGTTTATCTGATCTTGTGGAGCAATTTTCTCCTAAGAAAATGAAATAATATCAATAAATAAGTTAGCAATTTATGCGGCTTTCTTCTTTAACTAGTGGGATCATGTGATCACAAAGATATAAAAATAATTTCAAATCACTAATTTAATAAGCTGGGCCCAAAGCTGTAGTCTTTTTAAAAAATTTTATTTTATTAATTTATTTTGATTTATCAACAATCACTTCCATATGCTTTTGAGTTTAAAATTTTTCTCCCCCTTCCTCCCCACCAACCTCCCCAAGGTGGTGTACAATCTGATATAGGCTATACATTTACATTCCAATTAAACATATCTTCACATTAGTGAAGTAAAAATTAAAAACAATAGGAGGAACCATCAGAAAGAGGAAACAAACCTCAACAGAAGGGAAAAAAAAGATAGCAATTCAACTTCCATAGTTCTTTCTTTAGATGTGGATGGCATTTTCTATCACAAGGCCTCTGGAGATGTCTTAGATCCTTGTATTGCTGAGAAGGGTTAAGTTTATCAATATTAGTCATCGCACGATGTGGCTGTTATTGTGTACAATGTTCTCTTGGTTCTGCTCACTTCACTCAGCATCAGACCACACAAATCTTTCCAGGTTTTTCTGAAGTCAGCCTGTTCATCATTTCTTATAGCAAAAATAGTATTCCATTACATTCATATACCACAACTTGCTCAGCCATTCCCCAATTGATGGGCATCCTCTCAATTTCCAATTCTTTGCCACCACAAAAAGAGCTGCTATGAATATTTTTGTACATGTGGGTCCTTTTCCCATTTGTATGATCTCTTTGGGATATAGCCCTAGAAGTGCTATTGCTGGGTCAAAGGGTATGCACATTTTTATAGCCCTTTGGGCATAGTTCCAAATTGTTCTCCAAAATGGTTGGATCATTTCACAACTCCACCAACAATGCATTAGTGTTCCAATTTTCCCACATCTCCAACATTTATCATTTTCCTGTTTTGACATGTTGGCTAATCTGATAGGTGTGATATGGTACCTCAGAGTTGTTTTGATTTGCATTTCTCTAATCAATAATGATTTAGAGCATTTTTTTCATATGACTATAGATGGTTTTAATTTCTTCATCTGAGAACTGTCTGTTCATATCCCCAAAGTTGTAGTCTTAATTGAGATAAGATTCCACTTCATTTCAGTGGGCTTCCAGTAAGGACACACAAGTTCTACTTCTTTGTAATCATTAGCATTGCTGTTCTTTTCCAGGTTATTCTTCATAGCTGCTTTATCTTGGATTTTTTTTGTGAACTGCTTAGCACAATGCCTGGCACATAGTGGATACTTAATAAATATACATTTCCTTTCTTCCTTCCTTTAGCTGTGTGATCATAAGTGAATTAATTTTATGGTGTTGGCTTTGGCCATATCATTAACCTGCCCCACTATCAATAACCATTTGGAAGGTATTCTGCTATCTTTTAAAAGGGAATCTGTGGTCTGGTTACCAAGGATTCAGTCAAAGGGCTGCCCTTGAGGACCTACCTGGCTATATGTAGCCTTGAGGCTGCAGATTCCCCACTCCTGGCTCTGGGCTAAAGTCACAGCCAGAATTCTGACCACAGGTCAGAAGCATTCGTCTACTTCAGTGTTTCCAAATGTCCAATTTACATAACAATAATGACAGTGTAAAGACAAATAGCTTTGAAAATCTGATCAACCCAATGAGGTACCACAACTCCAGGGTATCAGTGAAACATGCTATCCATCTCCTCACAGAGAAGTGATAGACTCAGAGTACAGAATGCGTAGATGTATTTTGGGACCTATTTAATTTATTTCACTTGACTATACATACTTGTTACAAGGGTTTTTTTTTTAAAGAGGGGAGGGAGGTGGGAAAGAAAGAAAATAGACTTTTAATTTAAAATTTAAGTAAAAATGTAAATTAAAAATAAAAAATAAAGTTTCCCTATGTAGAAGCAGATTGACACTCTCCAGCCCCCTAAGCCTTAAGCAAAAAGAGTAGAGGGCTTTTTTCAGCTACTACAGCCATAAAGAGCATACCCCAGTGAATGGTGGAGTAGAGAGAATGTAAGGTTTGGCATCAGAGAATCTGAGTTCAGATACTGACTCTACTATTTGTTGCCTACCTGATCTTGAGCAAATAATTTCCCCTCTGTAGCCTCCTTTATTCATTCGTAAAATGAAGGGTTGGAATAGAGGCCCTCCAGACTCCCTCCTAAACTGATAAAACCATGACTAGTGATAAGCATTTTGAATTCAGGAAGGCTGGTTTTTGGATGATGACAGCCCCTTGGTCATCCGTTCCCGGGCCCATGCTTGAAGCAGGATCCAACAAAGCTTGCACTCTATTGACAAAAGCTTTAATGACCCAGGACCATCTCTATCCCGTTGTGAAGTAATGGAGTAGGGCTATTATATCTTTGGATTTAGGAACATCCCCCCAACCCACTCCCATTTTTTTTTATAGGACTATTTAGAAAAGCAGTGTGGAATTTGGAATAGCAGATAGAAGTTCCGGTTTGGAGTCAGGACAACTTGGGCTCAAGGCCTGCCTCTGATTCATACCAGCTGTGTGACCCTGGGCAAGGCATTTAACTTCTCAGTGACTCAGGTAAAGCTCAAAGAATCTTAAGTTGCAGAATGGTTCCCTATCTGAATTAGCAGAAGGCATTTCCGCACTGGGAGCTCCCGGCACAGGCAAAATCACAGGTCCATGAAAGAAAAAAAGAATTAATTTGGCTAAACTAATGTATTTTAATAAGTGCTACGCCTATTCTTGTGTCATGCACATAAAGCTTCCTCAGAGGAAAGAAAAAGCAGAGGTAATTATACTCCTGGGAGAAATGCTCTACTAAAGAGTCTCAGATTTAGCCTAGCCAAACTGATTAAAACTGTTATAAAGCATATGCTAATAAAAGGTACCATCAGAGATCATTTCTTCCTTGGATTTGTTAAAACCACACCCAAATTCAGTAAATAGCCCCTAGATAAAGACAAATGTGAAACCCTTTTAAAGTCACGCAAAGAAGCTTCTTTCTTATTGATGTATTACAATTTAAAACATTGTCCTTTGCAATTAGAGCCCTGTGGGAGATAGGAAATTGCAGGGAAATGAACTCTTTTGTGGAAAATAGCCTGCCTTCGATTCTCTGCCATAATTAAAGTAATGGCATAGTGGAAAGAATATTAGATTTAGAACCAAATACCTTAGAAATTACCTTGTCCAACCTCCTCATTTTACAGATGAAGAAACTGAGGTCTATAAAAGTTAAGTGACTTGTTTAAGGTCACAATGATAGATAGATAGATAGATAGATAGATAGATAGACAGATAGATAGATAGATAGATAGATAGATGGATTGAACAACGGGGGAGGGGGAAGGGAAGAGAATTTATTATGCACTTATTAGGTACCAAGCGCTACAGACACCAATACCAGCAAAAAGAATGATAATCCCCGTGCTCAAGGAGTTTCTATTCTAATGGAGGAAGAGGATATATGAAGAGGAGTTGAAAAGTAGTAGGAGGGAGGCAACAATAAGATACCTATGCCAGGGCAAGGCTGCTAGCAAAGAGATGAAGTTTAGATAGCATGTGGCAGAGTCATGATTCAAACCCAGAGCCTCTGAACCCAGATCTAGCGCTTTATCTGAAGCACCAAATTGCCCTTTATAATATTTGTTTTTCTATGCTTCCCATGAAAATCTTACTCTAATGCAAGAAGGTGACTGAATTTTCAAAGGCAACACACAATCAAAAAGCATTTTAAAAGTGCTTACTATGTTCCAGGCATTGTGCTAAGTGCTGTGGATACAAAGAGAGGTAAAAAACCCCAATCCTTGCTCTCAAGAAGCTGATAGTTTGATGAGGGAGATGATATGTAAATAACTATGTACAAACAAGATCTATTCAGGATAAATTGGAGCTAATCTTCGAAGGTACTAACATTAAGGAAGGGTATGAAGAGCTTCTTGCAGAAAGTGGGGTTTTAATTGGCACTTGAAGAAAGCTAGGGAAGCCAGAAGTTGGAGAAGAGGAGGGGCAGAATTCCAGGCATGGGAGACAGCCAGTGAAAGTGCTTGGGGTTGAGAAAATGAATTTGAGGAATATCAAAGAGACCAGTGTCACTGGATGGCAGAGAACATGGGAGAGGTAGGTATAACACGGCTGGAAAGGTAGGAAGGGGCCAAGTTTTGAAGGGCTTTAAAAGACAAATTAAAGATTTTATATTTTACCCTGGAAATAGGGAGCCATGGAGTTTATTCAATAGAAGGGTGACAGTTAAACCTTTAGGAAAATCAGTTTGACAGCTGAATGGAAGATAATGAATGGAGTGGGTAGAGACTTGAGGCAGGGAGATCAACCAGAAAGTTATTACAATGGTGATGAAGGTGATGGAGACCTGAATCTGGGTGGTGGCAATGTCAGAGGAGAGAAGTAGGTGAATATGAGAGATCTTTCAAAAGTGAAATCAACAGGCTTTGGCAACTGATTGGATGGGGTGGAGGGGAGTGGGAAAGAGTGAGGAGTTGAAGATGACATATAAGTTACAAGCCTCAGTGGCTGAAAGAAGATGGTGCCCTCAACAGTAACAGAGAAGTTAGAAGTGGGTGGGGATTGGGGGGACAGATGAGTTCAGTTTTGGATAGGCTGAGTTCAAGATGTACAAAGTTATCCAGTTCAAGACGTCAAATAGGCAGTTGGAGATTAGAGACTGGAAGTCAGGAACGAGGTTAGGGCTAGATAAGTAGATGTGAGAATTGGCATAGATATGATCATTAAATCTGTGGAAGCTGATGAGACCAGCAAGTGAAGTAGCACATAGGGAGAAGGGAAGGGAAGAGGAGGGGAGGGGAGGGAGGGGGATATGTCTGGCGAGCAGCCTTATTTTTATTTGTGTATTACCACTTAAAACATCATACTTTGCCATTGGAGCTGAGTGAGAGGTAGGAAATTATAAGGATATAAGACTTCCATGGAAAATGTCCTGCCTTCAGGCTTTGGCAGGCCCAAAGGGAAAGGCCAAACAGACCCAGCAGCCTCACTGTAGAGCTCTTTAAGCAGAAGCTGGAGAATCACTTATTGGCAATGTTGGAGCAAGGATTCTTTTTTGGGCACGCGTTGACTAGATTCTGGCCCCTGAGTTGCCTTCCAACCCTGCAATGCTGGGATTCAGTAACTGTGTGTTTATCATCCAAGGACTGCCTGGGCTAAGTGCAGAGAGGCTTATAAGTAGCCCTGACCACCAGGAAAGGAATGGGTTTTGGCCACAGCAACTCATGAAGACCTCCAATCAAAGTGTGAAATAGCTCTGTGGATACAGCCACAAAAATGAAGTCATGGAACTTGCAAAGTACAAAAGTATGTAGCATAATATGGAAGCAAAGAGCCAAGGGGTCATTAAATCAAACCCTTTATTGTTATCATTCTTAAAATTAGTGGTAATGGGGGTGCTTTCAGTGAATTGCATTTTGCTTCTCTTCTTTCTTCTTTCTCTTTTTTAAGGGGTTCATTTTATGAAGTAGGAAGAAAATATAGCCAGGGCTTTCCCAGTTATGAGTTGCAGAAGAAATATCTTATATAGACAATGTAAAATGTTTTATTTTATTCTGCTCTGTTATGGATACCATACCCCTATTAGCTTGATATTATTACTTTTTTTTTTACCCTTTTCCTCTTGCTGTTAGACAGGAGGTCTGAAGCAGGGGCCAAAAGAAATGATATAATTTTAGTTTTCATTAATGAGGTAGAGTGGCCAGGACTAAGGAGGTACTAGAACTTCTTGTACTCTACCCTGGCCAGATTGGAACACTGGGGTCAGTTCTGGGTATCATGTGTTAGGAAGGACATTGATAAATTGGCGAGTATCCAGAAGAGGACAACCAGGATGGTGAAGGGCCTCAAGATCATGTCAGATATAATAATAGTAATAATAGTAATAATGTTAATGACCTAGACAGCCAGTTGCTATAGTGAACAAAGTGCTTGAGTTCAAATCTGGCCTAAGACACTTACTTAGCTGTGTGACCCTGGGCAAATCACTCAATCTCTGTTTGCCTCTGTTTCTTCCTCCATAAAATGGGAATAATAATAGCACCTACCTTTCAGGGTTGTTGTGAGGATCAAATGAGATAATAATTGTAATTGTGCCTGGTACATAGTATATGCTATATAAATGTTAACTATTATTATCCATTTTGATAATCATTTAATTAAATTTATTTAAATTTTATTTTGTTTTAAAAATTTAATTTTATTTGATAATAATTTTAATATTAACTAACATTTATATAGAGCTTTAGGCTTTGTAAAACACTTTTCATATATTATCTCATTTGATCCTGACAACAACCCAGTAAGATAAGAATTAGTTGAAGGAAAGCCTTCAAGCAAAAGCTAGTTAACTACTTGTTAGGTATGTGATACAGAGGATTATTGTCCCCCAGGTTGGCCTAAGTAGCCTGTCAGGTGATCCTATGATGCTGCAAAAAGAGAGAAGTAAGATGTTGGAGAGGGAACAGATGAGAGGTTCCTTGGTTATAGAAAAGAAGCAAACATTTTAAAAGTACCTACTATGTGCAAGGCATTGCAGTAATGCTTTACAAATATCTTATGTTTTATTTGATGCTCACAGCAACCCTATGAGATAGGTGCTGTTATCTCCATTTTACAGATGAGGAAACTGAGGCAAACAGAGGTTAAGTGACTTGCCCCAGGATTACACAGCTAGTAAATATCTGAGGACAGACTTGAACCCAGGTCTTTCTGGTACCAAATTTGAACTCAGGTCTTTCAGCTGCTAGGTCCAGAGCTCCATCCATTGTACCACCTAGCTGCCTAGGAGAGGATGGGGTTCATAGCACAAGCAAAGGGTCAACTGTCAGGGGAAATAAAAGAGAGAATGTCTATAAAAACAGGATTTGGGAATTGTGGGAGAAATTGGATGCAAGGCTATGAAAAACCTACAATCTCAGGGATTTCCTCCCCTTCCTAAAGGAATCTCAGGTAATTTTAAAGAGAAAGTGTTTTACTTCAGTGTTCATTTCTTTTAACAATAACCCAAGCAAAGATGGTGGAATAGCAAGAAGTTGTACAGTAAGCTCCCTACCGCCTCCTCAAACTCTTCTAAACAGATTAGAAAATAGACCAGATTGAATTTTGCTTGGGAAAGCCAAGAAAACAATCACCATGATTAATTCGTCCAACCAAGGTTGGCATAGGAAGACAGACAGAGTGGTTTATGGACAGTGGGAATGGGTCTGGCCAAGAACATGAACTGTGCCCAAGGGCAAGACAAGGGGCAAGACAAGGTCCCAGACTCATACTTAGGTATGATCTCAAGCAGGATGCAGGAACGGTCGCTAACTGGCAGCTTTATTGCCTATTACCCAGATCCAGGGCAGACTGAGGAAGGGAACTGTGCCCAGGAGTGAGGAGTGGTTCCTGGTCATACCCTGTGTACAGAGAAGGGAGGGCATTCAGAAGCAAGCAGCCACAAGGTAACTCATACCCCATGCAGAGCAGAGTTGCAGTTCCAGCTTCTAGCCCAGTTTGAAGCCTGTGGAAGAATAATCAGGGCAGGAACACCAGGCCTAGGAGAAGCCTGAAGTTTTTCCAACTGAACCAGCTGAGCTCCAGGCTGGCTGATAGTGGCTGGTCCAGCAGCAGTCTGATGCTCAGACCTAAACCCAGGTCAGACACTTGCAGAGTTAGACCAGGGATCCAGCGATCAGTCTTTGCCCTGGATTAGACCACTTTTTGGGAGCACTGAAAACCATACTCTTTGCCCAATATGAAATGTGTATTTGAGAAACAAAATTTTGGCTTTATAGTTCTTCCTTGTGTAACCTAAGATCCTTGAGGGCAGGGACTCTCTCTCTCTCTCTCTCTCTTCTCTCTCTCTTTCTCTTTTAAGCTAGGCAATGGGGTTAAGTGACTTGCCCAGGGTCACACAGCTAGTGAGTGTTATGTGTCTGAGGCCAGATTTGCCAGGGACTCTCTTGTTTTTGGTTTCTGTCTCCTCAGTATCCAGGGTACTGTCTTGCTGCTTATTGAATATTTATTGAATTGAACTGATTTGCCCCCACTCCCTGTTGAAATATACTTGGATTGGAGCTATACTGAAGCTCCTTCTATCAATGCTGCTGCCCATAGTAGAGAAACAATCCCAGTTCCTCTAGGGAACCAGCAATGTCTGGTAGGTATCTGTGATCTCCATACATTCCTGGCTGGGCTGGGCTGGGCTGGACTATTTGGATGAAAGTGCTATGAATTAAAACAATTCTGTCCCTGGATAAAGTAATTTTTCTTTCCACTACTTTGTATGTGCAGATTTGGTCTCTCTCACCCAGAAACTCTGAGGCTCACCTTATTGCTCCCAGAGGACTGTGGGCAGAAGACAAGGGGCTGCAGGAGACTAAATAAACAAGTGAACATGAGACTACCATACCTCCCACAGTTCTGGGGAAAAAAATGATCTGAGGTAGTAGTAGGCGGGAGGAATACTTACTGCATCTGCAAGAATGTGCTGCTGAAGGAGGAGATGCTGCTTCTGCTCCATGATCTGCCTCTGGATAGCCTGCTTCTTCTCCATCAGCTGCTGATTCAACATCGATTGCTGGGAGTTCATGTAACTACTTCCAGTGTTTGGATTCGAACAAGAAGTGGAACTTGGACAGGGGCCTGTGTTCTGGCCTACCACAGAGTGTTGATCCTAAAGAAATGAAAGAAAAAAGGGAGGAAAAGCTACTGTGAATTAAGGGAAAAAATGTTGCCCAAAGATCAAGAGCTTAACTTTTACAAATTTTCATATTGTTAAAACATCAAGCATGACTAATGGAGTGTAACTCAGGGAATTGTTTTTTAAAGGTAGGAGGAATGACTGCTGGGTATTACAAATAATAGCAAGAAAAAGCAGGGTTAGTAACACTCGGGCTTTATTGCAAAGGCCAAGCTCCCCATATGACTCTTATGGTGAACACTTCATTGGTGAACAAGGCAGTTATGGGCCCTCCATAAACTCCAATAGAGTTTTATGGTAGTTCCAACACGTATTTAGAAACCTCATTCGGAACCGTGGGAGTATTCCATTCTTGTGCTTTACATTTGGACATGTACTGATTCAACAATGGAAATTTTTGTGTTGGTCTAAATGTAGACTGTTCTTAATAGAGGCCATGCCCTTAAAATGATTTATCTCTTTGCAATATGCAATATAATATCAAATATGATATCCAACACACACACACACACACACATATGTTTGGACTTGTAATTTCCATGGTGCAGAAAGTCCCAATTTGGAAACTTGCTCAGTCATACAGAAAGCATCTTATTGTATGCTAGACATTGTACTAAGTGCTGGGAATGTAAATGAAAGGCAAAAATAGGTCCTTTCCTCAAGGAACTTGCATTTTAAAGGGGGAAATAGCATGTAAATAAATGTGTACATATAAGATATATGCAAAATAGAGGATGATATTCTCAGAAGAGGAAGGCTGTAGCAGCCAGGGGAACCAGGCCTCCTGTGGATGTTAGAATTTGAAGGTCTTAAAGGAAGCCAGGAAAATTACCCAAGGGAAGTGAGGAGGGAGAACGTTCCAGGTATGGAGACGGAAAGGAGATGAGCAGTGCCAGGCACTGTGCCAAGTACTTCGCAAATATCTTATTTAATCCTCACAACAGGGGCAGCTAGGTGGCACAGTGGGTAGAGCACTGGCCCTGAAGTCAGGAGGACCTGAGTTCGAATCCAGCCTCAGACCAAATGCTTGACACTTACTAGCTGTGTGACCCTGGGCAAGTCACTTAATCCCAATTACCTAAAAATAATAAAAAAAAAATCCTCACAATAACCCTTACTGATAGGTGCTATTATTATCCCAGTTTTATAGTTGAGGAAACTGAGGCAAGTAGAAGTTAAGTGGTTTGTCTAAGGCTACACAGTTAGTAAGTATCTGAGGACAAATTGTAACTCAGGTCTTCCCAACTCCACACCCAGGGTTGTTATCTACTGCCTCTAGGCAGAGAAGATGACCTTTGCAAGGCAAAGTGATGGGAGATAGAATATTGTGCTCAAGAAACAGTAAGTATGCTGGCATAGCTGAAACTTATTCTTTCTAAAGAAGAGTAAACATATAAGAAAACTATCAAAGCAGGAAGAAGCCTGGTTGTGAAGACTTCTGAATACCAAGAGAAGAACATTATAGTTGTTCCTGGAGATGATAAGGAGCCACTGAAGTTTATTGAGTAAGGGATGGGGGAGTGATGTGGTTATGCCTTCACTTTAGGAAAATCACTTTGGCAGCTGTTTGGAGGAAGGGTTATAGTGGGGAGATACTTGAGGTAGAGAGACCATTTAGAGCACAATTAGGATAGCTGAGGCAAGAGGGATGAGGCCTGCTACTAGGCCGGTGGCTGTGAGAGCGGAGAAAACAGAGTAAACATTTTATGTAAAAGATGTTGGAAAGGTAGAAACAGCATATCTGGCAACTGATTTAATATGCGGAGTGAGAGAGAGCAAAGTATAGAGAAAGACCCTGAGTGTGGGAACCAAGTTGGTGGGCGGTACCTTCCTTAGAATAGGGACGTTTGGGAAGATTTTGAGAAAAAGATAATGAGTGCTGTTGTGGACATGATGAGTTTGAGATGCCTATGGGACACGCAGTTCAGAATATCTAATAAGCAGCCGGGGATGTGGGACTGCAGCTCATAAGAGGCTAGGCTTTGATATGGAGATCTGAGAGTCATCTGCACAGAGAAGACAATTGAACCCATGGAAGCTAATGAGTTCACCAAAGGAAAGAGTATAGAGGGAGGAGGGAGATGGACCCAATCAAGTGCCTGGGGGGGTACCCACACCTAATGAGAAAGACACAGATGAAGATGCAATAAAGGAGACCAAAAAGGAGCAGCCAGAGAGGCAGGAGAATTAGGAGTGAGCAGGGCCAAGAAAACCTAGAGAGGAGAGAAGATCCAGGAGAAGAGAGTGAACAACAGTGTCAAAGGCTGTAGAGAGCTCAAAAAGAATGAGGATTGAGAAAAGTCCATTAGACTTGACACTTACAAGATCCTTGGTGACTAGAGGGAACAGCTTCAGTTGAATGATGAATGAGGTTCAAAGCCTGATTGCAGAAGGTTTAGAGCTGAGCAAGAGGAAAGAAAATGGAAGCAGTGAGAATAGTTGGCTTTCTCCTCCCTTTCTCAAGCCACAAAAGGGAGGGGGAATACAGCTCACAGGAATGGTGGAATCAAGTGAAGGTTTTAAAGACTGAGATAAGAAATGGGTGTCTTTGTAGACAGCAAGGTAGAAGCCCATAGATAGGGAGAGATTGGAAATTAGAGAAAGAGTAGGGGAGATAAATGGGCCAATTTATTGGACAAGCTGGGCTGGGATCACAAGTGCATGAAGGAAGCAGGGAAGGAGCCAGTATAAGGAAAGATTCAAGATAAGAGAGAAATTGGAGGTGATAATGGGGGGGCAATTGGTTGGAGAAGAGGGGATGATATCAAATGTGCATTAACCATAAACGGGATAGTAGTAATAAAGGGTTTGGCTTTAGTAAGAAGGAAAGCTACCTCATCATCTGAGAAGAGTGAAGGAGGAGATAGTAGGGGATGATATCAGAAGGATGTGAGATAATGAATAGTCTCGATTTTTTTCAGTGAAGTATGAGGGAAGGCCCTCAGATGAGAGGGTGAGGGCAGAGGGGGCTGCGGGAGGCCTGAAGAATGACAAGAGATGTCAGCCAATGCAGTTCAGCTAATATACATCTATCACTTATAGAGGGTTGCCAAGGACATTTAGAGGTGAAGTAACTTGTCCATGGGCAGCTAGGTGGTGCAGTGGATAGAATGCTGGATCTGGAGTCAGTCAGATTCATCTTCCTGAGTTAAAAGTCAGGCTTCAGACACTTACTAGCTGTGTGACCCTGGGCAAGTCACTTAACCCTGTTTGCCTGTTTTCTCATGTGTAAAATGAGCAAGAAAACCCCCAATGGTGTCACAAAGAGTTGGACACAACTGAAGACAACTGAATAATAACAACCAAAATTTGTCCATGGTCACATAGTCAGGACAGGTCAGAAGTAGGACTCAAACCCAGGTCTTCTTAACTCTGAGGATGAGTCATTATCCACTTTGCCAAGCTGCTTCTCACTATGTGTATGGGTGTACATAAACACACGCACACATATGATATATACACACACCTCAACGTATGTGAAAAAATCCACATTTAGATTTTTGTAAACTATATTTGTGGGAATATGAGGACTTATGTCTGGAGAAATTACTTTAAAACTCAGATGGTCCTCATCTCTATAGGATGTGCTAGATGGTCTTTCTTTAAACTTCCTTTCAGTTCTAAAGCTCTCCACTCCTATGATTGGTGTTATTATCAGTCTGGGCACTTTCTTTATTGGGATAGTTCTCACTCACTTTATGCATCTTATTCCATATTAATCTTCCCCTGTCATCCTATAGAGCATCTATATAGGTTCTACCCAATAAGCCAGAAACCATCCAGTTTATTATTTTTTTTCTTTTTGGTGAGGCAATCAGGGTCAAGTGAGCTAGTAAGTGTCAAGTGTCTGAGGCTGAATTTGAACTCAGATCCTCCTGACTCCAAGGCCGGAGCTCTATCCATTGTGCCACCTAGATGCCCCTAGTTGTTTGTTTTTTGTTTTTTGTTTTTTGTTTTTAGTACCTTGGGGACCAATGCAGCATTCAAGCTATCCATCATTGTCTTTCTTGGTTTATCACAGGATTATAGGAACATAGATTTAGAGCAGGAAGGAAATTATTAAGTGTCTACCATATATGCTAGGCACTGTGTTAAGTGCTTTACAAATACCTCATTTAGTCCTCATAATAACCCAGGGAGGTAGGCGCTATTATTATCACCCCCATTTTACAGTTGAGGAAACTGAGGCAGACAGAGGTTAAATGATTTGCCCAGGGCCACACAACTAGGAAGTGTCTGAGATCACATCTGAACTCAGGTCTTCCCGACTCCAGCTTTCTATCCACTGCCAAAGATTACTTCCCATCCCCAACTTTTGCATTCAGTCCCCCTCCCCTACTTTCCCCTATGCCCTTTTCACTTTTCCTTACCCTCTGTGCCTATCAATTGTTCAAAATCAGTCTGTCACCTGATGGCAGAGACCAGGGAACTAACATGTAGCCCAAATGCCACTTTCTTTATGAAATGAAGCATCCTGGATGACCTCAGTTAATTTTGAATTTTCCTTTCCTAGAACTCTCATTTTATATTTTGTATTCTAATTAAATTTATTCATGCAGTGTAATATAAAGAGTACTGACTCTGGAGTGAGAAGACTTGTGTTCAAATTTGACCTGTGATGTTTACAACCTGTGTGATCTCCAGCAAGTCACTTAAACAGGCCCCAACTTCCTCATCTATAAAATGAGCAGGTGACACTAGACAGTTTCAGAGGTCCCTTCCCACTCTATTGTCTATGATCCTATAATTGTAGGTCTTATCCCCAGATCACTGCTTTATGACTCAATGTTTCTAGAATGAATTAATGATTACATGACAGAAGTACAGAATATTATTAGAGTTATTAGGCAGGAGAGATGACTTCTGTGTGCTAGGAGGTGGAGGATGTGGTTAGAAAGGGGAGGAAGAGAAGGTAGATGGGATCTTTGTTATTAGAATTCCACCATTTAATGGAATAGAATTCTTGAATGTCA